GATCCGGCCCCCCCGGGCTATGTAATCGTGGGGTCCTTGCGATCACATGGCCGGAATAGCTGACTTGTGCAGTGCTCTCAGGCTGGCCCCCTCATGCCTGCACAAAAGTTTAGAAAGCAAATAAAACTTCTTAAAAAGTTTAATAAAGTTAATAAAAATACTTAGATCATAGATCATATATAAGTACTTTTATATGCACATACACAATCCATTATTCTAAGTGTATATTAATATTAAAATGACATATATATATATATATATATATATATATATATATATATATATATATATATATATATAATTATGAAACCAAGAGGGCTGCATTTCCATGAACATGCATACATTATAGGGTTCTGCTGGGGCCAAAATATACAATCCAGCGCACTCGCTTATTCACTAAACAATCATTTCAAATCTTAGAGATTGTAATGGTTTTATTTATAAACACCTCACCTAGGCAAACAAATAATGGGGGTTTAGTTACAATATATGATCATATATTGCATAAGCCTGCCACAACGTCAATGTACCCCATTCTTGGCAGGTCCTACTCTAGCAGCCTAATGCTTGCTCTTATGAGATTAATCCACTTACTTGGGAAATACTTCCTAACTGGGACTCTCTGCAAGTCAAGGCTAAATAGGTAGGACCTGCCAAGAATGGGGTTACAATCTCTAAGTTTTGAAATTATTGTTTAGTGAATAAGCAAGTGCACTGGATTGTGTATTTTATAATTATATATATAAATAAAATAAAAATAATAAATAAAAACAAAAAAAATACAAATCTTTTTGTTGTTGTCAATCTTTCTTTTATCGAGGCATTGGTAGATATGGTACAGAAAAAAGAAATGGAGTTATAACAGATGATCAGATAGCAACAATACAATATGTAAAATGCAAATTGATATAAGCTCCAGATTGACAGCTTCTTTTTTTTTCATCTTTTTTGTTAATATTTTGATATTTTGCTGTTACTTGCTGAGATGACCCCCACCGGCTGGGGGCGGAGGGTTTCCAGTGTTTGTCAGCAGGTCAGGTAGCAGGGAGATCGTCCGTTTCTCCCGTGCTCGCCTCCAACTGTAAGATGCAAGTCTGACATTTTGAAACACTAATATTTGTGTTCCGCGAAATCTCGTGAATAAAACCGAACCCTCATGTACAGGTTTTATGGTGTTTTCAAAAGTTACAGTGTCAAGTATAAGGCTTGATTTTCTGCTTTTTCGCATTGAAATTTGCCAGATCAGTTATTTTGCCTTTGAGAGCATATGGTAGCACAGGAATGAGAATTATCTCCATGATGGTATACCATCTGCAAAAGTAGACAACCCAAGGTATTGCAAATGGGGTATGTCCAGTATTTTATAGTACCACTTAGTCACAAACACTGGCCAAAATTAGCGTTCAAATTAGTTTTTTGCCTTTTTCACACACAAACAAATATGAACGCTAACTTTGGCCAGTGTTTATGACACACTACTAAAAAAGACTGGACATACCCCATATTGAATACCCTGGGTTGTCTATTTTAAACAAAATATGTACATGTAAGGAGATTTATGACAGATAACAGTGTTACAATGTCACTATTGACACATTTTAAAAATATATGTACTTATAGCCCTATAACTTTCTAAAAACAGTTAAGATGTTAACATTGGGTATTTCTAAACATTGGTACTAAAATTTAGAAACCATTTAGCATGGGTGTTTTTTTGGCAGTTATAGATGCGTAACAGATTTTGGAGGTCAAAGTTAGAAAAAGAGTGTTTCTGTAAATTTTATAATTTGTTTTATAGTAAATTATAGGATATGATGAAAATAATGAAAAATGGTATATAATATGTGTGGGTAGAGTAAATCAGTAAGAGGAAAATTACAGCTACACACAAACACCGCAGAAATGTAAAAACAGCCATGGTCCCAAACGGTAAGGAAATTGAAAAATGGTCTGGTCACTAAGGGGTTAAATATGGCAATCCCATGTAAGGACAGTAAATTAGAGAGCTATCTACTAAACATCTAAAGTATTAAAATTAAGGGCTATTCTTCATTTTGTTCATTCAGCTGTTCAGTAGCTGTAATTTGGTACCCTTATGTGGGATTGCCATATTTAAGGATACCAAATACGGGTGCCGTTTAGTAAACCCGATTGGTTGCTTACCATATATGATATTCATGAATGACATTCATTCGGTCGTGAATGATATTCATGTCCTTCCCATTCACAATTGTATATTAACCATTTCACTCATTTAATTTGGTTATTTGGCAGTTCTTTTGTTTTTCTTATTCAGACAAATTGCTGAATTAGCCAACTTTTATCTGAATCACAGTTTGCCCAAATACGAATGCACAAGTCTAATCGTGTTACTAGGGGTGCGGAAAATCTTATATGAAAGAGGATTTGAGGAAACCAATGCTGAAGCAAGGAATTAAAACTAGAAATCAGACAGTAGATGACAGTCATGCATATGGAAATGTGGAAAGTATAGACTTAAAAGGAGGAGTAGGTGTTGGAAAGAGTGGGTGAAAAAATTACAAAGTTCACTGGATCAGGAAGTATGGGCCTCCAGAACACATGGAAGCAGGATTTCGTGTCAAAGTTAAGTGGATAACTCTTCTGGGCAGAGCTCGATGTCCCACTTGTCCAGAAGACATATATTATCATATCAGTATAGATTTATAAAATATTTTACCAGGATAGATACATTGAGATTTCTCTTATTTTCAAGTATGTCCTTACTGTATATATTTATACACAAAGCACACAATCATAACGAAAACATTTACAAACAGAAGTTATTTCTCTTGGTTACTGAGACAGGCGAATAGTTGGCATGTCTCTACTTTTATTGAAATACAAATTGCACTTCTTAGGG